TAACTAAGTCTGAAGCAAATCTGATAGCACACCGTTGCTGGAAATTGATGTCACTCGTTTTTAGAACGTAAAAAAAAGATACGGAAAACCAAATGACTCGAGCGATTACAAACTTGTACTGAAGGCGGATCACATGTTCTTCTGTCTTTCCTTCAAGCCCGGCACCTCCAGTGTTGTAAAATCGAACGCCACGTTGCCAGTCTCAACACTTAATTTAGAAACCTCGTATAAAAATCTTCCCTGTGAGCGGGACCCTTGCCGACAAGCGCAAAAGTCTGTTCATAAGATTCAGCTAACTTCCAAATATGGAAGACGTAGCACACAAACCAAAATGACTAAACTTAAGTTGCACAAAAAAGGGTGCTAATCCATGAATTGGCGCTTGGGGCCTAATAGCCCAGAGTCCGGAAAATGACGAAACGACCCCTGCACCACGACCTCAACGGAAACAGAAAAGCAAATCACGCAGAACACGTAACGTTCTAGAAGAAGGTATCTTGAGTGGCCTTGAAGAAGATATGTTTTATAGGAAACCAACTAACGGAGAAAAACTACAGCGTTTTTTGCTAATCGTCAACACCATACTGAATCGCTGAGAAAGAAAGATATAATACAAGTGAAATTACACAATCAATAAACTATTAAATTTGCCAAAAGAAAATTATTGGAAAGGGTTTGGCCTAGGTATGGGCACTCTATTATCAATGAAGAGAAATTCAAATTACTGATAAGTGATAAATAGAAAAAAAAAGGTTACGTGATTTTGGCACGTGACAAAATGCAATAAAAATCTGCATCATGTGTGAACAAGCAAATAATTTTGAAAATAATGGTAGGTGTAAATGAGAATAATGAATTTAAATCCAAAAATGCACATTAAATAATATCTACGTGCCAAATTTCATAAAAATATTGGCAACTGGCTTCAACCTCTTCAATGTTACAAATTATGCAAAGAATCACGCATAAATCAAATCAATAAGCCACTCCTAACAGCATCTATGAGAAAGGTGCTCGCAGGAATCTGAATTTCTCTCAAGATGAGGGTTACAAACACTAAAATTGGCTAAAATTGTACACAAAAGCAATATGAAAATCCTATCCTATCCAATAGGTTTTGATTGAATATCTTATTCACTGCGCATCCGCAGGCCATTTTAAACATCTGAAAAAGTGATGCTAGAACATTACGAACAATTCCGGAACGGTAAGGATTTTTAAGTATAAGCGTTTGTATTTGACATCTTGTTGTACTTTGCAAATACTATGTACTAGAGTTTCATTGAAATCTGTTTATTTTTATAAGCAATTTGAAGTCATTCCATAACAGTTTTTTCTAAATACCTAATTAATTAATTGGTTGCCGTCAGTAATAAAATACTACATAACTTTCGTATAAAACATTTTGTTGTAAAGATTTCAGTTTGAAAAATATATGATAACCATTTTGGTAAAACTGGTAGAAATAAGCTGTTGTCATTTATATGTATTGGAACTCAAGTCATCGTTGGTTGTCAGAGCGGTCCGTGGGACCTTTGCTCTTGAGTCACAGTGTCAGTTTGTAAGTCTGTCAGGTCTGGTAACCCAGAAACCAGACAATTTTAAGCAGTATTGGAACTATCGTATGTTTTACTTATTTTTTCAAATAGTCGCTTCCCTTCTTTGATTTTTGGCAAAAATATGAAGTATTTGGCATAGTTTGCCTGGAGCTTAATAGCAGTTTTACAAGTTTAATTTTCCTCGTGTATTTATCATAGAGGCACTACATTCTTTGCCTTCCCTAAGGAACCCCCACTGGCCGCTTTGCCGCTTACTTTTTCGCTTCAACGGATGCATTATGCATCGACATGATATTTCTCTTAATATTCCTTTTACGAGATGTTTTTTGTGTTTCTCTGCTTTCGGAAACGGAAGCGGAGTTAGTTTTGTAGTCTGGGAGAACTGGTTGAGTTTTTCGACAATATGCTAATCATTTGATTATGCTACCGAATTTCCGTAAGGTTTCCTTCAGAAAACTTGAATTGTTTTTTTCAGTAGTATCCAGAGAGTCTCATAAACAGTGATCAGATAATTTTTTTGTGAAGGTGTACCTGGCTGTGAAAGTTTTTGAAAGCGACAGTTAGCAAATTTTCTCAAGGAGGTCAAAGCCTAAGTATCTCCGAAATTGTAAGAAAATCACCCAAAATAATCAAAGAATCAAGTTCCAGCTGGATCTTCAACGTTTACTAGATCTATTTCCCGACATTTTTCTAATTTGACCTTGAAATGACCTCAAAACTCCCTCCTGATACAGACAACCTAACCTCAGATCCGGGCTGAGCGACAAGTACCGACGTAAAGGTAATAGATTTGATTTCTCAGCATTTTCTTAAATTGACCTTGAAAGGCCCTGAAACGCCCTTTAGATGACCTGATACGGAGGAGCTGATGTCATATTCGGATTCAGCAACCACAAAAACAGTGCCAAATGCCCGGTTTACTTACTCCGTAAACTTTACCTAAACCTTACCGTGAACATGCGCGTTCTTCAGTAAGTTACGTGATAATAATTCTCTTGCTGACATTTCAGTAAAAATTCTTCAGATATCACAGTCCTACATTTGACGCGAGTAAGACAGCATAATAATGCTAGTTTCTTCATGTCTACAAAACTCGAAGGTAAACCTAATTGTCTCTCTTATCCCAGATATGTTCCATATATCTGTGAGTGGAAGTTGGATCATTAAAGAAAATAATTTTCAAGGAACGATAACGAACGATCGCGAGCAGCAAAATATTTCTGCAATATGTTTCACCTCCATATATTTATTGGAACTTCTTGCTTGGCCGGAAAATACGAGAAGATCTAATTCGCCTGAAGTACAGAACCGGAAGAATAGTTGTTTCTTGTAAAGTAGGACGAAGCTCGGAGAATTTTATCGACCTAGGATTGTAAATATCCCTCCCTTGTCCTCGTTCTTTTTCGAATCCTGTTATCCTCGAAACTTACGAGAAATTTTATGTTTCGGATATAATTACAGGGTGGTCTACCACCATCCAGAACTAATAGTTGAGCCGCTACCTCTTGAAAAATATTTTTTATGGTTTATGGTGGTACGTATGGTCGCACATCTCTTCTTCATTTATAAGTAGAGCGAACAGTATTCGTATTCTATACATTCGCATAATATAGTACAAAATAAAATAATACTAAAAGCAATAAAATATCGAATCAACGAGTTTGACAGGAAAGATTACTTTTTGGACGTAGTAGTTCATAATATTAAAATTAGGCATAATTACAGATAGCTGTAGTCCCGGTTATAGTAGTGCTTAAAAATTCCAAAAGGTTGCTTAAAAAATGGTTTCTACAAAAATTGAAGTTGATGAACATATAATTCCAGAAAAAAAAAAGTGGCATGTATGAGCCGTCAATGAAGACAAATATTGGGAATACCAGTTTTAAACATGCATTTAGTATATAAGGGGTGTGATACCTTCTTATCACAACGTCAGTGCAATGACGTAGAAATGATAGAGAGGCACCAAATAATAATTCTCAGTTGAAGTTAGCAAGCACTTTAGATAACAAAAAACATAAAACTTACAAATTATCCACTCTGCCCGCATCCCCGAAGTAATTTAGTACAAAAATATATGTACTGGATAGAACAACCTTGAATGCTTCAAACTTCTGAAGATTCTTCATCCCACCACTGATAAGCATTAAGGAGGTCGTTTCTATCAATTCACAGTTTTGCATCAGTTAATTTAAGGTTTTCCTATCAGGATGCTTGATTTGATTTTCTTTTCATATTTATCTGTTATCTGCAACGAAAAACATTTTAATATTTTAAATACACCAACAATAAAATCAAGGCTACAGGTGAATACAGCATCCATTTTGCCCTTCTGCTTTGTCAGAAGTCACTTATCGATATTTTAAAAAGCCGTGGTTATGATTTGAATTATAATTACAACCCTTTTGTTGCAAGATTAATGATGCTTTTGTCGAAAAAATATATTTTATTGTCCGGTAGCCCAATGAGCAAATGGAATCTCCAGCAAATTTATTTCCAATATTATAGATGAAGGTTGGACGAATACGTCTATATACTTTTCCTTATGACCGATTCAGAGTTTCAATGTAAGATGGGATATTTGCTCTGCCCAGGTCGTCCATTTAGCTAATTATTTTTAATTTTGAAATGTAATGTAATACTTTTCATTTACCTTGATATTCGTTTTACAAACATGTTGGTTATAACTCAAAGACAGACTCCCAAAAACCTTAAATCAAAAACAGGCTTGTGGTATTCTATTCGAAAATTTTGTGAAATCGTTCATGTTGCGATCTTGATCACCCTGTATAAACTATCGAAAAACTAAGAAAGTAAGTAGGTAGGGAGAAAATATGCAATCAAAATTTTTTTGTGGAGCTATAACACTTATGAGGAGATTCGAGTTGTCAAAATTGAGCATTATCTGTCCAATATCTCAATTTTTTTTATTTTTCTTTATTGGCATTGGAAATAAAGAGTCCATGCATCCAGTGTCTATATAAATAATAACAACAATAACAATAATCGGAACTATAATAAAAGGATCATAACAAAGAGTAATAGATAATTGTATGTCATATATAATTATAGGCTATAATGATTTTTACCGAATTTACCTATACCTAACGGATTGGAAAATAATAGACGAGGGGACTAAAGGAAGAGACTCTTCTTGCCAAGAGGCATAACATAGCATTTTTCATAGACAAACAAAACTGGCCAAGGTAATGGGGTTTCAACACAAAGGATAAATCACGTAACATTTAACAATGCTATGAAATATATACGAGGGATGTCTTTTAAGTTTTGCATATAGAAACATAGTAGGCCGCGCGGATCGAACGTCAGTGTTGAATCTAAACCTCACTCTTTAGTAAAATTAAATTCAAAGTTTCACAACAATAAGTGCAGTGTTCTCACTTCAGGTGAATTTTTAAGTGTCACCAAGTCATTAGAAAAATGGAACTCAACCGAGAAGATTTTCGCGACATAATTTATTACAACTTTCAGAGACAATTATCGCAACAAGAATGCCTTGCTGAGTTACTGTCTGTTTTCCTCAACGAAGCGCCACATCAGTCGACAATTTCCCGTTGGTATGGAGAATTCAAACGTTGATGGGTGAGTCTTAGCGACGATTCCAGGGTGGGCGCACCAAAAACGGCAGTCACCCAGGAAAACGTCGATGCTGTGCGCAAACTCATCATTGAAGATAGACATGTGACATATCGCAAGATTGAGGCGTCTTCGAAGATCTCAAAAACCTCAATTCAAAAAATTTTACATGAAGAATTAGGAGTAAGAAAATTAGTTTCTCGTTGGATACCACACCTGTTGACTGAAGAGCAGAAAGCAGCCAGGGTTGATTGATGTCAAAAAACGCTTGACTGTTTCAATTCCGGAAACTCAAAAAATGTGTACAGCGCTATTAGTGGTGATGACTCGTGGATTTACTGTTATGAACCAGAAAATAAACGACAGTCGGCTGTTTGGGTGTTCCATGGTGAAGAAAAGCCAACAAAAGTCATCCGTTCTCGAAGTGTTTTGAAAAAGATGGTCGCGACATTTGTGTCAAAAGCGGGTCATATTGCAACAATTCCTCTTAATGAGCAAAGAACTGTTAGTGCGGATTGGTATACCACCATTTGTTTGCCACAAGTCATCACCGAGCTTCGAAAAATCAACACCGAAAGTAGAATCATCCTCCACCAAGACAATGCAAGCTCGCACACAGCCCAAAAAACAAGGCAGTATTTAACAGAAGAAAACGTGGAATTATTGGACCATCCTCCATATAGTCCCGATCTAAATCCTAACGATATCTTTACTTTCCCGAAAATTAAAAACAGACTGCGTGGTCAAAGGTTCCAGTCACCAGAAGAAGCAGTTGACGTATTCAAAAATGCCGTTTTCGATCTGCCATCAAACGAGTGGAATAAGTGCTTCGAAAATTGGTTCGGGCGCATGCATTAATCTTCGTGGAGAATACTTCGAAAAACAACAAAGAAATTTAAAACTACCTACCGTGTTGTTTTATTTCCATATGCAAAACTTAAAAGACATCCCTCGTATAGAGAGACTTCATGGACAGAATGTCATACTGAATTGTAGGGGAAGTAGACGCTAATAGTCTCTATTCTATCTGATGTGTATTATATTAGGCATTTAAAAAAAAGTATTTTCAAAAATTGCAGGTATGTTGCATACTTCGGAAGCATCGTGGTCAATTATATTCAGTCTTGGTAACCGTGAAGGGTAACAGCCATGTCCAAACCTCAATCTACTGTAAGTGGTGATAAGATGTCCACCACAGAGTCTTAAACTCTGATGGCACTGGGTCATCGCACTTGGCAGTACTGTATTCTGCTTTTTGAAACATATTCGTTATAATAATCACACCACATCTTCCGGATATTCTTTTTGATGCTGGTAAAACAATCGTCGACACACATCGGTTGTGATGCAAAATCTTGTTCAGCAGCTGCTTGTTTTGCCAAAACATCTACAGCTTTGTTACATTTAATACCAGTGGGTGCCTTGGCACAGATGAAAACAAAATCTCATTACTTTGGTAGATAATGCTATCTAATATTGGGTTTATATAAGATAAAAGTGGCAAGCTAGACTACAATGATTTAAAAACAAATGAGTCGGACATAATAACCATATTGTTATTTTGTGCAAGATCTAGACTTTGTAGGATGGCAAATGTCTCAGCGGAAAAGATAGAAAATAAGTCAGGGAGCTTGTACTCCATTCGCCAATATGTGAATAATACTTTGAAAATAAAGCCCTATGGTATGTTCAATTGCTTCATCTGAAAGGTGCTATCCAAATCTGCAATAAAATACAGATTTTTGTATTTAAAACATAAAGTTATGAATCACCCTGTAGAGATAAAAAATATTTTCCAATGAAGGAGCATGCTGCTGGCTACAATTTTTGAGTCCCATGCGTAATAACGGAATTATCGACCGAGCGCGCACTAAAAACTCACCCCGTATACTCACATAAAGTTAAGTGAGAGCTTGTAAATACTGCCACAATGGCTTTTCAGTTAATCGCGAATTTGTAAATGTGTCCCACTGTACGTTAAGTCGATGGATACTAAAGTCCTTCCTGCATATCTACTCCATTCATATATTCCGAGTAAGTTCTTATGAAAATACAGCCTGGGGACGCGGTAAAGTGTATTTATACGGCGACTCTCGCGCGACTGTGTGTATTTTACCCCGGAAAATCGTTTTTCCGGTCATGAATAGAATGTTACAAGTCACAGAAATTGTTGAAATGAAAAATGCAGCCAGCGAGATCATCAGGAACCGTCCTGGAATTGTGTGTACTTTTGTGCAGAGTAGGACTATTTCCGGTCAATCGATAAGGTACAGATACCCGGTATTCGATTCTTGCTATATTTTCCGAGAAAATCGGAAGCGAGGTTAACGGAGACAGTTATTTCCTTTCCATGTAGAAAATGAAGCTCTATTGTTACACGGTTACCTTAGAACGGTTATTTTTGCTCTGAACAGATTTTTAAAACCCGTTCTTCGGCAACTCAAGTAATAATTTCGGTCTCAGCGGCTTAAACATTTTGTGACCTACTAAACGGTCTCTTGAGACGAACACCAATCCAATAATTATTGCTGGTTGCCTAAGATCAGCTGGTGTTGTGATGAAGTTCATCAAATAGTGGGACGTTTTAGTTGTTCATCTATTTGAAGCTAACAGTGATATCGTAATTCGTTTCTATATTGATACTATAGTATAAGTATATTTTGGAAAATAATAACTTGCTTTTTTGACATATATTGATATATCATAAATGTTCGCTACTTTGCAGGATAACAATTATACATATACAGCATGTAACAACCTGTATCATTGCCATGCCTTTTTTTATAAACAAGATTAAATGGTGGTGTGATTTCTCTTTCCTTTTTTAAAATAATTATTTAATAAATTAAATTAACACGATAAATGAAATCCTCGAGGTGTTAATCGGAACTTGTTTTGCTTGACCACCCACACAAAAGAAAATAATCTCACAGAAATGACAAAACCTAATGAATTGCATTGAGAGAGCCAAATACAACAAGATATTTAAAAAAAATAAGCACAATATATTATCAAAACAAGCATCACATATGCTCCACCACTGGAGTGCAAGTTAAAAGAAAGGATGTTATCCAAAACCAGCTGACAATAAAATTATTAGACCGTGATAATTAACCCTGCAAAATTTTTAACAAAATGGCACACGTACGAAGGGTTAACAAATATTTTAACGCCTAAATCTAAACTTATCTGGATAATGGTCTTCTTCCAGTTACAGCTCTAGACCCAGCCGAGATGTCCTCAGCTCACAAACGATCAAGTCAAAAACCAGTGGCCAGTAGTGGGCAGTGACGTGAGGAACGTCACAGGGTAGGCTCTGCTTGCCTCGTTCCCAAAATTTACAAAATAAAAAAACCCTAGAGAGAGAAAGTCTGCTTAAAAATCTACTCTCTACTTTCTGTCTGAGACAAAACTACACATTTAAACACTCGAAACTTGTAGAAAAACCATGTACATTCTATTTTACAAGAAAAGTAAAGTAGAGGCAAGAAAATATAAAAATGTACCAAAGTGATATACCCTCAGAAAGCTATCCCTTGTTCTAAAATAAAGTTATGGCATCTCAAAAATCAAAATCATGATCAATGTAATGTAGTAAGCCCAAAAGAAGGTGACATGTAGGCACTGCCCTATATTTGAATATGAAAAAAGCCATACAAAATCAAGTACACTCTAAAAATTTCAGTCAGCAACAATCAATATATTTCTATCAAATACCTAATTAAAATGATATTTTACCTGTTCACTTCAGGGTTTTTTGACAAGGGGAAGGGGTGGCTTCTAGCACAATCGGCTTCGAAACAGCTACAAGGCAGCTACAAAACAAAGCTGGAGGAGTGTGTATGGTGGTTCTCCACAATGGTCTACAAAAAGATAAATTACTGCTGAAGGCTAAAATCTCATTAGAAAACGGACGGGGTAGTACACAAATCAAAACAACTAAACGTAAGGTACAAAATAAAAGATGCTACTCCATAATCTGGTGTTTGGGGCGTAATATCCCATAATCTGGAAATGATTACCGACGAAACGGCACGCACAATCAAAGCCTCAGCAGAAAAAAAGAAAAATGGCGCTGGACCCGTCTGTATACGCAAGTTTTTAAAAGATGGTATCTTGATAGTAAACCAAATATTCCTAACCATCTAGTACGGAAATCACTAGGTGATGCTGGTTGCCAATGGGCGGAACCAACTCTACGAGGGATCAACGATATTTTAGGAGGTATCTGAGATAGCCGTTAATAATACTATAACATTAGTGTCCAAAAGATTTCAACGCAATACTGAGTCGCTGAGAAAGAAAATTATACAATTATACAATCAATATACTCTGAAATTTGCGAAAAGAAAGTCATTAAAAAGGGTTTGTCCTATGAATCGGCACTCTATTATAAATAAAGAGAGATTCAATTTACTGGTAAGTGAACAAAATAATAAAAAAAAAGGTTACGTGATTTTCGCTGACATCATAATAGCTGGGTCATCATTGGGAGTGTGAATGGTAGACCAGCTTAGAGTTATACGCTTGGGAAGAAACATTATTATAAACATTATGATGAGGAAGAGAGATGGAAATATACAAAAGTATGTAGGTGCGTGAAAGACACTCGATTGTAGGATCCTATGTGGCAGCGTCGGACTGTGACGGACAACGGGGTAAAGTAGAAGAGTGATAAAAGAGAGGGATGGCAGAACGGGCGCTGGCGCCTACCGCTTAGACGGATGCGCTCAACAAATGCGATTTGTTTCTCCCATTCGCAGAGTTGCCGATACCAATATGTCATATTTCTAAGAAATCTAAGTCTACCCAAATTTCGGGAAAAATAGCTGCGGATTCCACATAAGAGTATTCCAAAAATAAAAAAAGTTCAAACTATTAAAATTGTATTAATGTTTCATGGTTCAAATCATATTTTTCATGTTTGTATATTGTTGTATAAATGATTTTGTAATCCCTATTCTTGTTGCCAGTAGAGATACAACAGTATTGAGAGAAATCATGGACCGCTATATAGGGCTACAACTACCATATGACTATCAAATAGTAGTGATAAACAGGGTTTGTTTATAGCACAGTTGCCTGGTGTGGCGAATTTGCGCCATAGGGGCGATTTGACAACTTTGAAGGACAACTATAACGGTTACTATGGTGCCCGGTATTCGGGAATCTGGCAATACCTGATGATTCCTAACGTTTATTACGCCAGATTGTTTGCTGACTTGCGCAGTACAACATGACAATCAACGTGACTGAGCACCTGGTAACCCTGGTTTAAGGTGTTATATTTAATGAGCTTGGGGCAGTTAGGTATCTAGGTCACATTTTTTAATGTATTTCGAGAAATCCGTAATGTTGAGTAAATACTAGATCACGTTTCTTGCTTAGTTTGCTGAAAATTCTACAATAGACGTACATTTTGAGAAACAGAGATTTGGTGACGACAAAATCGTAAAAATATAGCGCATTTTCGTAAAATAATTTCTTTGTTGAAAAGACTGTGGCTTGATGACCCATTGAACGAGTATAGTGTCCCGCTCCGCTTTGAATATTCGAAACACTATACTCCAGCTTGAATGAATCAACACTTAACTCTAAATTCCCCACAATTCGGGAAGCTCTACTCAAATTGGCAACACAGCGTATCTGCCTATTATTCTCATTCGTGATACAGGTCTGCGGTTAACGGTAGGAAATATGTACGAATAGCGATGAAAGTAGACGAGCCGATGAGTGTTGCCAAGAAATGATTTCCCATGTATAACAATGGTTTTTCCTAAGGTGTATGTCGAGTACACCCTAATAAGTGATGTTGCCAGTCTGAATGCTATCTGATTTGGCAAATCCAGGGATAGGGATACAACTTAAATATCTTCATTAGGAATACGTCGTCATTTATACTGCCTATAATTACCGAATAGTGACAACATCCTACCCGACCATTTGAAGCGTGATTTTATACATATTCAGTAGCACTAATTCAATATCTCTACAATATAAATTGAACAGTCTCGTATTAAAAATTTTATCCTGGCCACAAAAGGTTGAGAAGGCGTTTGGAGACATTTTGTAAAATTGTTCTTAAGTTACAGCCAAGTTGTTACATCCGAACTTTGTATAACAGGTTGTATAAGCTACCAGAAAACCAATGGAGATGGATATGCAGGGATTTTCCTTTTCAGGAATAACTACTCTTGAAATAACAAAGCAGTATGCGGTAAAACAAAAAATGTAATAAAGTTTGGTAACAAATTTTAAGTACCTACCGTCCTGTCACGCGATAAATGGGCGTTTACCTGCACCATTGGTTTAATATGGATGCGCGTTGTATCTTTTCACATATTCATTCCCTGAAGGCAGGACCCCATTTGATGTCTCAGATAGTGTAGCGGAGATCCGCAGTGCTATCACGTAAAAAAAACCTATAAAACGTCAAAAAAAAAGAAACCGACAAAATGTCAACTTTTTGCCTAGATAGTTCCTAGTGTGCAATAGTAGATTGCGCGTCATCAAAAGCTTCCATCTATGGAGGAATGACTCAACGACACGACACGATCAATCCTGCAAGCTGCAAGTCAGTTCCCCATCATGCTTTGTTGGTTCCAGAATGCCGAGATAGTCTGTAGAATATACTCTGAGAAGAGAGGTTGAGTAACATGTGATAAAATGATTGAGTAAACTGAAATTTTATGGTCTTTCTGACAAGCCACTACGTTTCTTCGACTCATATTTGAACAACCGTACTCAGAAAGTCAAAACATGTAAGGGCGTTTCATCGGCCGAACATGTTTCATCTGGCGTTCCTCAAGGCTCCGTGTTGGGACCGTTGCGTTATTTAGTTTACACATTTGATTTACATGCTTGTCTTCAACACTGCAATACTCGAACTTACGCTAACATTACTCAGCTAACTATGTCATTTGATTCATGTAATTTACATGAAATGTTAAACAAACTGAACATAGATATAATTAACATTGAAAATTACTAAAGATCAATGCTACAAAATGTTGTGCTATGCTGTTTGGCCCAAAGCAGTTATTACAACGTTCAGAGGCGACAATTGCCCTTAGTCTTAATAGTACGAACCGAAACTCTGATAATGCCGCTAGTAGCTTATTCAATTATAGTTTACTTTCCTTGTCTGGATTACGTGACTAGATATATACTACGAAAATTCAAGGTTTGTTTATGCTCTGCGAAAGTTTAGACATGTATCTGAAAAAATCAGTGAGTTGAGATGGTTGAAGGTAGACCAGCGTTTTACATATCATCTGCGCATCTTAGTCCAAAGAATCAGATACAATAGGGTACCTACTTATTTTCTAAAAAAGCTTGTATCACGTGATGATCTTAATACCAGAAATCTCAGGCATAACACCGATTTCAACATAACTACTTATAAAACTAATATTTTCCATCGTAGCTTTACTTACAATGTCGTATAATGCTCTTAATGATGCACACAATGGCAAAGGTCTGATTGCATTCAAGAAAGCCATCAAGAATCACCTTTTGGGATCTACTAAATGGTTCACGAAATGGTCAAGCAGGTTTAATCAAATCGTGAAATAATTACATTACATTATCAGCCGTAAATAATAAAGTTGTTTAACGAGACAGAAAGTGAGACTGAAAGACTTTATGACCAAAATGTGCCCTAGTTCTATGTAGGTCACAAATATATCTATCAAATGTCAAAAAATCGTGGAGCTCGGAAAGTGTTTCACAGGTCGGTACTTCACCCTTAAAATACACTTATTTGACATAAAATTTGTGACTAGCTGGAATTGTGTTTGTCTATCGAACTAGTGTGTTATGTCTGCGTATGTGAAATGTAGAACTCATACTGATTTTTATTCCATTTTTAGGTTATACGTCAAATAAAAGCGAATAGGATGACCACGCGAGGTTATTAATTTCATTAATTTGTGGTATTTGATATCTTCGTATATTAAATTCGCGACAAGTTGTCCAATTTTGAGTATTTTAAGCTTGTTTCAATATAATTATTGTATTTTCTAAAGTTCCTGGTTTTAACAAAAATGTTTGTCGTACTCAAAGAACAATAAACGAGTTGGTAACATGTTCTGGACTTTTATTAAATATTTTATGTACGATATGGTCAATCTTGGCAATCAATGGCTACGACACATACATATACTAAGTAACATATAAATCCAAACACCCAGTTTAAATGGTTTTATTTTAATAAAATTACTTAATGAAGCATAATAAGTAAATGATAAAAATTTCAAAATGATTTTTTTTTTTTTTTTTTTTTTTTTTTATACTCCAACTATCACGAAGGCCTAAGGTCTAAGCACCCATTGGGTACCGTGGGGCTATGGGGGATACATGGGAAAGGGGGGACGCCACACGGACTCTGGCGAGGGAACACGTGTGCATGCAACATGCACACATTCTGGCTCCGCCTACGAGAACCGCCGGGTGGTACCTCCGCGTTCGACAGTCAGAGACCATCTACCACCTACGAACAATCACAACATCCATGGCCAAGAGAAACATTTCTCCTGGGACGGGACTCGAACCCGCACAGCGCACGGCGGCTGATCAGGAGACCGAAGAGTCTACTACTGCGGCCACCGCTGCTGCCTAAAACAAACACACAACATCCATGGCGAAGGCGAGATTCGAACTCGCGGCCCGGCCGGCCGGCTGATCAGTAGCACGACACTCTGACCCACGCGGCCTTTAATAATGTGTGGATGCACCCTGATGTGCTACGCATTCTCCAACGCGCCTAGGCATGCTTCTGATCAGGTATCTCATTCCAGGGAACCACCAACTCCGCTTGAAGTGCTTCTAGAGTCTGAGCAGGACGTTGCTACCCATCATATCCCACACGTGCTCAATTGGAGATAAGTCGGTAGATCTTGGTGGCCACGCTAATAATGTGACATCATTATGTTGAAAGAAGTCTATTGTGACTCTTGCAATGTGGTCGGGCATTATCTTGTTGTAAAGTTGGATCTGCCAGGGTGTCAAGATAGGGTAAAAGATGGGGTTCTAGAACTTCGTGGATATAACGCTGCGCGTTCATGGTACCTCTGATGAAGATTAACGGTGACCTGGAACCATAAGCTATAGCACCCAAACCATAACAGTGTGATGAACATGTCTTTCAACAAAAAACTGTGGATTCCTCCTTTCACCACGTCGCCTTCTAACCCTGGCACGACCATCGTGCATGCCTAAACAAAATCGAGACTCGTCACTAAAGACAATACTGTTCCATTCCTGATCCCAGAGTGACCGTTGTCTGCACCACTCGAGGCCATTACGTCGGTGTTCTCGGGTTAAAGGGAGGACCCAGTGTGGCCGGTATGAAAACAAGCCAAAACTTCTTATTCGTCGGTAAACACTTCGCATTCCAATAGGTCTTTCGTGTTCTGCAAACCATTCATTTGCAATGGACCTGGTAGTGGAGAAACGGTCCCTTAAGGCCAATAATCTTAGGCGGCGATCTTCACGGTCTCTTGTTCTACGGCGGCGTCCAATGCTCCTTGCTCTTTGCGTACCGCCTTCTCGAAGCCATGCCTGACAACACCTAACCACAGTGTCTACACTTCTTTGCACTCTAACTGCAATTGCCCGAAAAGAAAGTCCAGCTTCCCGAAGTCCCACTATACGGCCCCTATCAAACTCACTAAGTTGACGAAATCGTACAGGTCTCCGTACTCTAGGCATCGTAACCGATCGTAAAGGATGTCAAGAACCAAAATCCGCCAACGTTGATTCTTTACTGCGGCTGAAATATTCATTTTTAGAGCGTTAGTGAATTAAAAAAAATCAGTATAAAAACCGGAATGTCCAACTGATAAGGCTGAAAATTTTTTCACTTGTTATTTATAGTAAGATAAATACATTTACCAACTTTTATTAAAATAAAACCATTTAAACTGGGTGTTCGGATTTATATGTCACTTAGTATATATTCATCCAGCTTCCTTCAACCAAACAGATGTAGAAGAAACTATCTATTATTACTTTGAGCGTACATATTTTTGAATTGTGAATTGTGTAACGAATCTGTTTAGGATCGATTCCGAATCGGTCCTAACGGCGCTCTATTATAGGTCGAAATGAAAAGTCAGGACCGCCACAAATTCCGCAACTTTGCATCATTCGTTCGCTTGGCAACACAGCATCTGGTACATTCTAAAGCAAGGTTTCCACCTCCATGATCATACATGAGCGGTTTTGGCCATTACCCAACTAGCGCTCATTGGGGGTGTCGTCCTGCTTCGAAATTGTTTTCATCTGCGTAAACGCAGTAAACACGTAAATACTTGTGTTACATCGGTGGAAATCAAAAATAATTCTAAAATAATCTAAAATAAATTAAAACACGATGTCGTATCAAAATTGAGATAATAATTCTAATCAAAATGAAACGAAAATAACATACTGGTAACGCGGCAGATTGCATGACCTTCTGTATCACCGTTGCTAGGCAATGTGGTGATGACCTTCGTTTTTCAGCTGGCGACTATCCCTTTCTAACATGTGTTAATACAGACTTTTCGAGCTTCTCTCTCGTACACATTGAACTCAAGCCATCAGACAAATTTGGTTTCCCCTGTATACCATTTCCATGGTGAATCTTCCAAGATACCTAACGTATGTTTGACGTGGTTTTCTAGTCATACAAAACAAATGTATTAAATCAGTAGAAAGCAAGATAGTTCCACAGTAAGTGGCTTCGAGCAAAGCGGATCAGGACGAAGTGGATACGCTATATTCGTGCTTTACTTCTATGTTATTTGTATGCTACAGATGATATTCATAAATGTGAAAACGAATCAAGGATCTCCGTCGGAAGAAACAATAAAATCTCAATTGATGCATGCAAAACTTTGACTCGGTAAAAGCAACCACTGCAATATATGCTATCGGTGCTGTCATGGATGTTCAAAGTTTAAGGGCACTGATGGTTGTTCTACAGTTTGTATCTGCTGTACCCTGTGAGTGAAAAATCTGCACAGTTTTGATTTCTATCTAGGTACCAAATAGCTACAATTTACAAATGATTATTGTTTATTTTTTGAGTATGGATAAATATAGAATGAATTAATTAATTCTAAATTGATTAACGTTTCTGTAAGAATGCCTAATGTGTGTGAAAACCTTGGCTAATATTAAAGTAAAAAAGACGTAGGCTTCAATGGGCTTAAATAACAATAACGTAAATGTACTCTCTGTCAACATCTCATGTTTTTTTAAATTTTCTGCAGCGGTAGCAGAGACCTTGAAATAAGATCTAGTGCTGCTGATGATAAATAAAGATCTAGGTATCCTTGAGTAAAAAGTGTCTTGGAAACAGAAAGCGGAGGAGTTGAAGGTTTAGTTGAAAACACCAGGAAGTAAATCTTACTGGACAAAAGAAAATAGATTAACCACACGTACTAATTTCTTTATAAAGGTTTCATACCCAACAAATACATATAAATGTAGGTATAGCCTTATGCAGTCTTCGAAATAAAGTTGTATCTTTCGTTTTCAAAGAATTTTTAAATTGGATGAATTCAATTTCTTTAAAGCAACCAAATTACTTTGCTCATGTGCCGGCAATTTTGAATCAAAGTAATAATTTCAACGAAATTTGTGCCTTCAATCAAAATATCGTTTGTGCGTGGAACGAAGGAATATTCATAAAGGGCGTATAAAACAATTCTAACCTTTGCCATACTTCTATAGGCTGCAAAGTTTGTTGGAAGTTGTTCATAAGAACAGGCTTTGTGTTATGCAACCTTCGAGCTTATGGATTCTAAAAATCAATCTCAAGGGGCATGCTATATGCACTGTATACAGGGTGTTCCTTAATGATATGCGGATATTCAAGGGTGTGAATCCACATGAAAAATTAATGTTAGTTTGCTTTATAAACTGTGGTCCAAAAATGTTTCCTTACAAAAACTCGGGGTGTTGAAGTTTTAGGAAAAAAATCGAAATTAATTAATATTCTCAGAACCGCTTCAGATATTTCACTGATATTTAGTACGTAGTGAAAGTTAATAAAGCTGCATATTTTTCAATGCAAAAATAATTTTTAGCTTTGACAGTGGCGTGCGTACGGGTATTGACTTCGACATTTTTTAAGAAAATAATGGTACGTCAATGGTTTTTTGCCAAACAAAAATTATTTTTGAATTCTCCGTTCAATTTAAAACAAATGATCTCTCTTGAATTGTTTTCTTTTGATGCGCCATTTTTGAGTAAAAAAATAAAAACCGTTCTATTGTCTAACTTGTAAAATTATTATTAATTTAATTGGAAAAATCAAACACATTAGAGGTAATGAACAACAACAACTGACAACATAAACATAATACTAAGACCAACGAAATGATTACAAAAATAGTTGAAATGGCCCCCTTCACGCACGCTTCCGCTATCCTTCTCGTGGAATTGTGCACTCTTTGAAATATCCCTGGAGTGCTTTTTATCCTATCACAAGCTGCAACTATGCTTTCTATTAATTCCTCTACAGTGATAGTGAGACTTGTGTACACTAGTGTCTTAAGACAACCCCACAAAAAGAAATCTAAGCTGTTGAGGTCTGGGGACCGTGGTGGCCATTCTTGGGGCCCACCGCGGCCAATCCAACGATTTGGATAAACTGTTTGTAAATAATTACGAACCGCTACACTGAAATGCGCTGGTGCACCATCATGCATGTATGTACCACATGTTGTTAGTTATTACTAACGGAACATGATCAAGCAGCAAAGGCAACTGTTGTTGAAGAAAATTGAGGTAAGTCTGTTCGTCAAGTCGTCCCGGCAAGAAGAATGGGCCAATAAAGTGGTTGCCAATAATTCCTGGCCATACGTTAACCGAAAATTGGTGTTGGAAATGGGTTTCGGTTAGGGCATAGGGCTTTTCTTCTGCCCACAAATGATTATTGTGGAAATTCTGAATGCCATTTCGAGAAAAATTAGCTTCGTCCATGAACCGAATCATTGATTCAAATTGTGGATTTTGTGTAATTCCACTGACAAAAGGTCACACGCCTTGGAAAATCAATGGAAAATTAATGCCTGTACTCTTAAATTATGGTAAGGATATAACAAAAAATCCACTAAAATTCTCCAAACACTTTTATGGCAAATATTTAAGTGTCTAGCGATCTTCCTCGTACTCGTTTCAGGATGTTCTTCGACTTCCTCAATTTAAGGTGTTCTCACAGTTAGAGGTCTACCTTCAGATGTTCCTTTTTGGACAGAACCAGTTTCAACAAGACGACGATGAATATTAGAAAAGGTTCGACTATCTGGCAAAGCACGATCGGGATATCTCTGGTGATAAATCCGTCTGGCTTGTTCACCATTACTGTCGGCAAGGCCACATACGTAATGCATTTCCGACATTCCTGCATTTGAATAATTCAACATTATTAACAAGAATGTAAAAGCTAAATAATGAAAATATGTCACAGCGAACAGATTTGACTAACAGAGACTTGTC